AATGTAAAGATTGCAAAAACGAGAGAGGTGCACGATTTTGTTTTAAGTGCATCGATTGTGGCGAGGTATCTTACTTGCTTTAATAATTCTTGTCTACTTTAATAATTATTTCTTACCTACTTTAATAATTCCTTTCATGTTTTCCATCATCCTTTCTTACATTTTTTCTTTAACCTTAAATGACATCAGGTCTTGTCAAATTCCAGCGATGCGCTACTTGAAAACTCACTTAAAGTGATACTGTTTGATTTAGTATTTGCTAAAAAGAGAACTCAATACACCATGAGAAATTAGTGTCAAAGGAACATCTAAAACATATGCATTCATGCAGTAGTTTCGCTGTTGAAGCCCCCTGTGCAGTTCCTCATGAGAGGTGAAGACATTCGAATTCAATTGGGCAAGCATTTTCCTGAAAATAGCCAATCAATAAGGGAGATCTATTGGATCTTTTTTTCCGAGAACTTTTTAGACATTGCAACGCTGTTTGTTTACTTGTTTTCATTGTTTACTTGTTTGTTTGTTGACCTGTTGACAGCGTACACATCCCTAAGCATCACCGTCTTCCCCTTCTCATACTGAGTATCAGCTTGTTTAAATTTTTCACTTTCTACACACTGCAACGCTGTTTGTTTACTTGCTTCCGTTGTTTACTTGTTTGTCTGTTTACCTGTTGACTGCGTTACAGTCTGATGCTGATTTTCGCTGTGTTGAGCTAAGACGTATATGACTTAATGGACCGAAACGTCTTAACCCTTACTCACTTACTTTTCCTACACCAGTTATATTTCTACATCTATACATGCACAGTTAGTTCTGGTCCTGCCCTATTTAAGTTCTTAATATTACTCGTATGCTACAGCCGTGCAAGAATCAGCTTAGCTCTTTTGTATGTTAAATGTAATAATTTGTTGTGGGAACAAATATATAGAGATAGAGCCTGCCGATGATGAAACCGCAGCGTGGATTTCCAGCCTAAAAGTAGCGCAACCTACAGTGCAATATCAATTTACCACAGAAGGCTGTATACTCCTACTGGCCCAGTTTGATTCATCTGTGTTTACAGCTAAGGGATGAAATACGTATTCCCGTGTGTGCTTATTTTGTTTGGTATATACTTCTTGTATTTTTTGTAATCACTTTATCATTTTTAGACAGAAAACTCCCACGTACCCATCTGAATGTCTGTGCTGCAACACTTCCCCGAGTTTCATAAGAGCATTGCAGATGGCTGCATAAATAGCTGATTGTAGGGGCCTTGTCAGGACAAACTACTTGATGACATATCAGCCGCATAAGCGCAAGCAGTAAACTGCTGCCAGCAATACAATTTCAGGGAGTTTCCCCGAAAACATCCTTAAAAAATTTATAGATTTACTGTTTTAGGTAGCAGTGCCACTGACACATGTGCGTGGCCCACGGGAAGGCGTCTGCTCAGTTTGTTATGAATCTCAGATGAAGGTAAAGCCTTTTTTCGTCTAATCTTAGTACATGTTATATACTGCGATTGATCCTGATAGCCAGTTCCTTCGATACTTCAGCAAAAGACAAGAGAAATGGAAAATTAATTTTTGGAAAATGAAACTCAAGGGGAATTTTTCAGTCCACCAAGTCGTATACATTCCTTTTCAGCATCGCAACCAGGCTTTGTCAATATGGCCGTTATGGTGTTGTAATGCCAAGATCGCTCGGATAGTTGATTTGTGCTGAAGGATCAAACTCTTAATTTTCGGAAGAGTGAAGCTCTGGGAAGGCATTAGGCTGAATGATTTATGTAGTTATAAGAAATGATTCTGGAATTTTGTTCGGAAACTAGTTTTTTTAAGTTGTTTGCTGTTTTTTTGCAGGTCAGAAAAAAAGAATTTTTTTATTTGCGATAATGTGACCCTCACTTCAGTGCTTTAGGCTGTTGTGCAGTTGAATTGTGAGCACCAAACCTGTATGGAATGCTTTACCACATATCTTAGGACGGCTTTCGCTCAGAATCAGTTCAGGTTTTTCCCGCAAAATGGCTACACTGTTGGATGCCCTGTCTATGGATGTTCAGGTGACATTTTTGAATGCTCTTCATAAACAGCTGGCTTTGTTTTTCTCTCAGAATACTTTGTTTCAGTTAAGTTTCAATTCTCTGCCCATTTCTGCACTCTATGTCCATGCCGATGAATTATCGGGGGTTGTCCTTATGCATCACTATTTACTGGCACCAAAATTTCATGGCATTGCTGTCATATCTAAACCCAGGTAGTAGAATGTATTCGCAAGTAGCGTTGGTCTCATGCTACCAATTTACAAAGTTTTGTCTTTGCCATTGAGATTTTCAGTCCCTCTACGATTCGTTCATTCGTTTCGATGGTAAATTGGTACCAGGAGTGATAAATTACGGCCATTAGAAGGCTAAATCGTAACCTAAAAAGAAGTGGACGGCCCAAAGAAATCAAACTGTGGAACTGTCGGAGTCAGAAAGTTAAAACGAAGGGTGGGATAAGATTGTCAAAATAATTTGCGACTGTTCGTAGGCCGAGCTGTAAACTCTGAAACAAGCGGGTGGTCCAAAGCATGAAAAATGTGGAACAGTCATAGCTCGAAAATTTTAACCTAGGATGGGATTAGTTTAATAAAATTTTGACTTAGAGTGGTACTAGTTTAATAAATTTTCGGGTGCCTTCATTCCTCGTAGAAAATAAATTTGGAAGGAATTCTGAAGAAATTTCGACTTTTAAGAAAGCTACCTGCATTGCGGTGCTCAAATTTCCGGAGCTTTTAGTAATTAGGTTTGGTACTGCCAAAATCCACATAGATGTATTGAGTTAGAATAGAACTGAGGTGTTTTTGTTAGCTATGTCAGAGCTTTAAAAAATCTCGTTTACTTTCCAGGATGTGTTGTCGATACACACTGTTTCTACCTGCTAGGAAAGTCTGGCTATGAAGATTATCAGCGTCAAGCAGTGGAACGTTTGGTATTAATGGAACAGGATGGATTGTTTTGCCCGCGAACACACTGTGGTGCAGCGTTCTTCTGGGATTTCAGCCCACCAGATTTTACAGTAGGTGTTGACTCGTTTCCCATTTTTCCTTACCCCCACTATTTTCCCCCTCCTCTTCCAAGTATCCCCGAAAAGCTTTTAAAAATTGCTATTTTTTCGGGGGAATCATCTCATTTTTATTTTCTTTTGCTTGCCAAGTATCTCTGCTGTAAAAACTTCCCTATGATATTAACACCTTTTTTTTCTCGTAGCCAAAGAAGTTCGTCATGATTTAGGAGTAGCAGCCTTCGGTAACACGTATTAGTGACGTCCCGAAATGGTCAGAATATTACCAAATGCTTTTGTTGGGAGAAGTGTTGAACTGGTAATTTCTTTGGGCGAAAAAGCGGACTGTTGGATTCATTTGAGCGGCAAAACCAGTAATTCCTTAGGCAACTAGTAATCCCTTAAATCGCTAGCAGGTTGATCGCAGGACGAAGAAAATCAACTGAAAAAGTTCGAGTTGCGTAGTTTCAAGGATCTCGTGTACTTACGCATAAATACTTGGATTAACTACACTACTTCGCCACTGTTTCATATTTTGAACGTTCTCCAGTGCTGTAGTCGACAACCATGCCAGTGACTTCGGTCCTGATCTCTCAATAAAACGAAACGAGAATATTCCTTTTTTTTTCTGTTTATACTTACATTTATTTCATATTACATCTATTGAAGTGTTAGAAAGTATTTAAATGTTTTCAGGTGACCTGCCCCGAATGTGAGCATTCGTTCTGTGCCATATGTCGCTACGAGAAGTGTATTTGTTCGGAAACGACT